CATCCCCCACACCCCTTTTCCCCCAAGAATAGTCAGTCCACTCCCTTTCGATGCCCCTGATTCTATTATAATCACCAGTTTATTCTGTTCATCAGATTATTTATTCACTTGGTTTTTAGATTAACTTGTTGATAGATGTGTATTTGTTGTTCATAATTTGTATCTTTACCTTTTTCTTCTTCTTCCTCTTCTTAAAGATACCTTTATTCATCACTTTGAATATTTCTTGCCACTCTCTTCTGGCCTGCAAAGTTTCTGTTGAGAAATCAGCTGACAGTCGTATGGGTACTCCCTTTTAGGTAACTGACTGTCTTTCTCTTGCTGCTTTTAAGATTCTCTCTTTGTCTTTTGCTCTTGGTATTTTAATTATGATATGTCTTGGTGTGGTCCTCTTTGGATTCCTTTTGTTTGGGGTTCTCTGCACTTCCTGGACTTGTAAGTCTATTTCTTTCACTAGGTAGGAGAAGTTTTCTGTCATTATTTCTTCAAATAGGTTTTCAATATCTTTTTTTTTATTAAATCTTTATTGTTCAGATTATTACATTTGTTCCTCTTTTTTCCCCCCCATAACTCCCCTCCTTCCAGCTCCCACCCCACCCTCCGCCCTCACTCCCCAACCACTGTCCTCATCCATAGGTGCAGATTTTTGTCCAGTCTCTTCCCGCATCCTCCACACCCCTTTTCCCCCCAAGAATAGTCAGTCCATTCCCTTTCTATGTCCCTGATTCTATTATAATCACCAGTTCATTCTGTACATCAGGTTATTTATTCATTTGATTCTTAGATTCACTTGTTGATAGATGCATATTTGTTGTTCATAATTTGTATCTTTACCTTTTTCTTCTTCTTCCTCTTCTTAAAGGATACCTTTCAGCATTTCATATAATACTGGTTTGGTGGTGATGAACTCCTTTAGCTTTTCCTTATCTGTGAAGCTCTTTATCTGACCTTCAATTCTGAATGATAGCTTTGCTGGATAAAGTAATCTTGCTTGTAGGTTCTTGCTATTCATCACTTTGAATATTTCTTGCCACTCCCTTCTGGCCTGCAAAGTTTCTGTTGAGAAATCAGCTGACAGTCGTATGGGTATTCCCTTGTAGGTAACTGAGTTTCTTTCTCTTGCTGCTTTTAAGATTCTCTCTTTGTCTTTTGCTCTTGGCATTTTAATTATGATGTGTCTTGGTGTGGTCCTCTTTGGATTCCTTTTGTTTGGGGTTCTCTGCGCTTCCTGGACCTGTAAGTCCATTTCTTTCACCAGGTGGGGGAAGTTTTCTGTCATTATTTCTTCAAATAGGTTTTCAATATCTTGCTCTCTCTCATCTTCTGGTACCCCTATAATTCTGATGTTGGTACGTTTGAAGCTGTCCCAGAGGCTCCTTACACTATCTTCGTATTTTTGGGTTCTTTTTTCATTTTGCTTTTCCGGTTGGGTGTTTCTCGCTTCTTCGCATTTCAAATCTTTGACTTGATTCTTGCTCTCCTCTGGTCTGCTGTTGGGAGTCTGTATAATATTCTTTATTTCAGTCAGTGTATGCTTACTTTCTAGATGGTCCTTTATCACACCATCTAGGGTCTCATTAGATTTCCTATACTTCTCATCAAGTTTATTGACAGACTCTAGAAGCCTCTTGAGAGACCTCAAAAGTGTGGTTCTGAACTCAATATCCTCCCTTGATAGTTTTGTCCTGTTTCTTTGTCTCCGCATTTTTTACGCTTTCTTGGTACACCCCCTAGTGGTCTTTGTGTGCAATCTTGTTGTAGTTAAGCCTTGATTGTTGTAGTTAATACTAGAGGGATTTGACCTCCAGGCCGACTGGCTGTGGTAATCAGCTGTGTCTGCAGTGGAAGAACTTGTGTCCTCTAGGGAGGTGCTAATCTAGCCTTTGCCTGGGGCTATCCGGCAAATGCCTCTGTGCAGGGCTTGGGCGGGGCGGGTCCCACGGGATCAACAGGGCGGAGGAGGGAGCAGTTATGGCTGCTCTCAGTCCGTCCCCAGGGGCTCTGCCTCTCTGTCCCAGCAACCGCTGCAAACCTCGGAGGGACCGTAGCCAGACAGTCCTGCTTCTCCCGTTTTAGTTTGGGTCCCTAGAGACTCGCCCGGATCTGGAGCTCAGAGTCTGAGGCTCCCTCCGGATTGAAACAGACAACCACGCCCTCAGCCACCAGCCCACGCCGCGCGCACTCCGCACCTTAGTATTTTACTTCAGCACTGTGCCTCCTCTGAGTCTTGGTATGCTTTTCTCTTTCCTTCTAGTTGTAGAACTTCCATTCAGCCAGCCTTCCTGTGGTTCTGGATGATGTCCGTTCCGTCTTTTAGTTGTATTTTTGAAGTGGTTGTTCGAGGCAGCAAACTCCGGCATTAACCTATGCCGCCATCTTGGTTTCTCTGCAATTCTCAAAATCAGGTTTTCAATATCTTGCTCTCTCTCTTCTTCTGGCACCCCTATAATTCTGATGTTGGTATGCTTGAAGCTGTCCCAGAGGCTCCTTACACTATCTTCGTATTTTTGGATTCTTTTTTCATTTTGCTTTTCTGGTTGGGTGTTTTTTGTGTCTTCGTATTTCAAATCTTTGACTTGATTCTTGCGACCCTGTAGTCTACTGTTGGGAGTCTGTATTATATTCTTTATTTCAGTCAGTGTATGCTTAATTTCTAGTTGGTCTTTTATCACAACCTCGAGTGTCTCACTAGATTTCTTGAGGGTCTCACTAAGTTTATCAGCGGTTTCTAGAAAATTCTTAAAAAACCTTAAAAGTGTGGTTTTGAACTCTATATCCAGTAGTTTGCTTTCCTCCATTTCTGTCATTTGTGTCCTTTTTCTTTGTCTTGGCATTTTTTATGCTTCGCTGTGTCGATAGAGTGGCTTTCTGTGCTAAGTGTCCTATAGGGCCCAGTGGCTCAGCCTCCCCAATTACCTGAGGTGGACACTCTTGGTGCACCCCCTTGTGGGCTTTCTGCACAGTCTTGTTGTAGTTAAGCCTTGATTGTTGTAGGTATCACTGGGAGGGATTGACCTCCAGGCCAATTGGCTATGAGAATCAGCTGTGTCTGCAGTGGGAGAACTTCTGTGCTAGAGACACCCCTTCCGGACAAGACTTGCTTCAGTGGGGCGTTGGTGCTCACTGAGTCTGCCCCCTGAGTGTGTCCTTTATGGATCCGAGGAGCTGTAATCTGGATGGTCCCACTCTGACCACAGGGCACACTGGCTCCTGGATCTCTATGGAGGTGCTAATCTAGCCACTGCCTGAGGCTATCCAGTAGGAGCCAGGTGTGAAGCAATGCAAGTTGCTATGGAGCCTTGGGCCAGCTGCAGTTTGTTAGGTAATTTTCAGATTGCAAAATGGCCGGGCCTTACATATGCAAAAGCCTTTGTGCATGGCTTGGGCAGGGCAGCGTCCCACGGCATCAACAGGGGGGAGTGAGCAGTTATGGCTGCTCTCAGTCCTACCCTCAGGCTCCGCTTCTCAGTGTCCTGGCAATCGCTGCAAGCACCTTCGAGAGAAAGCTGCCCTCGAGTTCCAACCAATGCCAGACAGTCCCATTTCTCCCGTATAAGTCTGGGTCCCCAGAGACTCACCCGAAACTGGAGCTCAGAGCTTGAGACTCCCTCCCAATTGAAAAACACAACCGTATCCTCAGCCGCCAGCCCTCTCCGCATGCGCCTCCATACCTCTGTATTTTACTTCCGCACCACACCTCCTCTGAGTCTCAGTGTGCTTTTCTCTTTCCTTCTAGTTGTAGAATTTTCACTCAGCCAGGCTTCCCGTGGTTCTGGATGGTATCGCTTTCGTCTTTTAGTTGTATTCTTGAAGTGGTTGTGCAAGGCAGCAATCTCCGGTGTTTACCTATGCCGCCATCTTGGTTCCTCTCTCTTTTTTTTAATTCTGGGATTTATTTACCTTCTATAATTGAAACTTTGTTGTCATCACTGGAGCTGAGAGCGGGCTCCTGCTTGCTCCAGCTCTGGGGCCATGGCCTGCTGAAAGCAGGTATCTGGGGTTTGTTTAGCTTCTATAATTGAAACTTTGTTATTTCCGAGCTCAGAGCCGGGCCCCGGCAGTCAGGGAAACTTGGCTTCCTCCATCACTGGAGTAAGCAAGCCTCCTGCTCGCTTCAGCTGCGTGCCTGCAGGCCGCCATCTTGGTTGGGTTAATTTGCATATCATGCTGATTAGCCAATGGGAGGCGTAGCAAAGGTACGGTCAATTACCATGTTTGTCTATTATATTAATTGATGTCTAAACAAGCTGATTCCCAGACCAACCCCCACTTACTAATGAAACCATCTTAACTGTGGTTTCATTTCTGGAAATTTTAAATATTCAGTTTGTGTCCCTTGATTGGTCTGAATCTCTTCCCCAGAAAAGGTGGGGGTCAGCTTTATATTCCTGAGTAACCGCTTCCTAGTCAGACAGGAATGACAGATGTGGGTGCTTCGGAGATGCTTGTCCTGGGGCCTGCAAGGGAGACCTATGGCTCTTCAGTCACCGAGCCCATAATGAGATTCACTAAACTGAGGCTCTCTCCTTTGCTAGGCAGTGGCTTTGGCCCTGAGTTGATTCCTCTGATGGATGGAGAGTCAGTTGATGGGGAGTCAGTCAAATGCTTGGCGTGACAAGGATGCCTTGTTTTCTAGACTTTTCTGCAGGATTCCTTTCTGAGCACCTAGAAGATGAGCATCCAGACCCCACCCACACTCCTGCAGCTGGCAGTAGAGAGCCTGCTGAGGGACCAGGCCTCAGCCATCTCAGCTCTGGAGTACTTGCCCGCTGAGCTCTTCCCACCGCTGTTCATTCAAGCCTACCGTAGGAAAATCTGGCAGCCCCTGTCGGCGATGGTGCGCGCCTGGCCCTTCAGTCTCCTCCCTCTGGGGGGCCTGATGCAGCTGCCTCCGGTCATGGTCTTAAAATCCATGTTGGATGAGCTAGACGTTCTGCTTGCCCAGAAGGTTCGGCCCAGGTAAGGCTGCTCCAGGTGCATGGTAGGGTCATGGGCATCCCAGAAACAGTGAGGGTCAGGGTGTGTGGAAGACCTAAGGGTGGACCCTTGTTTCTGATGGTGACAAAGAGGCGCAGGGAGCCCTTGCACACTACAAAGCTCACTGTGGGAAGTGGAGGACAGCCTACTGGGCAGGGGCGCCTGCAGGATCTGCCCTGCCTCCTCCCAGTGGTACTTAAAGGTGCTCCAAGTGCTGAGCAGGAGGGATGGAAGGGAAGGAGATGAGCAAAGCAAAGCAGTGGGAGGAGGAGGGCATGGGAGAAGCTGGCCCTGGGATTCAAAGTAGTGGGGGTGGAATCTGATTGTGGCCTCAACTCAGATGCTCAGTCTCATTCTTCCCTGCCCTCATTCAGTTGATCTTTTTTGAAAAACATTTTTTTATTGATTTCAGAGAGGAAGCAAGAGATTGAGATAGAAGCATCAATGATGAGAGAGAATCCTTGATCAGCTGTCTCCTGCACACACACACACACACACACACACACACACTCCCCCTCCCTGACTGGGCATTGAACTGTGACCTCCTGGTTCATAGGTAGATGCTCAACCACTGAGACACACTGACCATAAAGCATGTCAGCCATTGCCCTGTTGACTTGGAAGAATCTCAGCTAATGTCCTGCTTTCCCCACAGGAGGTGGAAACTGCGGGTGCTGGATTTCAGGAACACGGGTGAGAACTTCTGGAGAATGTGGTGTGGAGACAGCACCCCGAAGTGCTCACTGACGGGCCCAGTGGCTGTGCACATCTCCAGCCCCAACATGGAGCACCCCTTGGCGCCCTTGGAGGTGTTCCTAGACCTTGACTTCAATGAAAGGGACGGGGATGAGTTTTTCATGTACATCGTCCAATGGGCCCAGCAGAGAAAAGAGTTGGTCCACCTGTGCTGCAAGACGCTGAGGTTTTTTGATGTGCCCTTCGAGAGGGCCAGGAAGGTCCTGGATGGGGTGCAGCTGGACTGCATCCAGGAGGTGGAAGTGGACTACCCCTTGGACTTGCCCACCCTGGGGACGTTTGCTCTCTACCTGGGTCAGATGAGTAACCTGCAGAGACTCTCTCTCTCCCACATCAACCTGTTGGCCGAGGAGGAAGAGCAGCGATCCTTTTCCCAATTCCTCACTCAGATGCTCAGGCTGCGGCAACTCCGAGACCTCAACATGGAGTCTCCCTCCTTCCTCCGAGGCCGTCTGGACCAGATGCTCAGGTGAGCTGTGTAACAGTGGACGCAGCCCCAGAATGTCAAGGGAGTGGTCTTGTTAGGTGCTTTGAATGGTGTTACCCTGTGAGCACCTTAGGGAAGCTTGTTTTGAAATCTGCCTGTCAGCAGGGGTAGCAGAACTGGCTCAATGAGTGTCCCAGGGAGCCTGGGTCTGTGAATGCTTCCTTAGGGAGAGATGTGTAAGTGTCTGGGACTTAGGAAGAGGGAGGGAGGAGGAAAAGCCACATCAGATGGAGCATTTCCAGACAGAATCTCTGTGCCCACCGGCCATGTGAACACACGTGAGCCTGTCTCAGCTTCCCCATCTGTCGAAGGTGCTCGTGGGCTCCAGGAAAGTCATTAGTACAAAGGAAAGGCAGGATCCCGCAGCTAAGGGAGCAGGAGGGTAAGGACTGCAAAGAGTGACAGGTGGTTTGTGGTGGAAGTCGCCTCTGCAGACTGGCCTCCCAGCTGATGCTGCAGATTCTTTCTCTGGTCACTCTCTTTTTTCTTTAAGTCCTCACCGGAGGATATTTTTCCTTTGGTTTTTAGGGAGTGAAATGGAGGGAGGGAGGGAGGGAGAGACAGAGAGAGAGAGAGAGAGAGAGAGAGAGAGAGAGAGAGAGAGAGAAATACCGATTTGAGAGAGATGATTGGTTGCTCCCAACACTTGCCCCAACCCCGGCCTGGCATTGAGCCTGCAAATGGGATCCGTGCCCTTGACCATGAATCTAAACCAGGGGTGGGCAAACGTTTTGACTCGAGGGCCACAATGGGTTCTTAAACTGGACCGGAGGGCCGGAACAAAAGCAGGGATGGAGTGTTTGTGTGAACTAATATAAATTCAAAGTAAACATCATTACATAAAAGGGTACGGTCTTTTTTTTTTTTTAGTTTTATTCATTTCAAACGGGCCGAATCCGGCCCGCGGGCCGTAGTTTGCCCACGGCTGGTCTAAACTGAAATTCTTCAATCAAAAGCGAAAGCTCTGTCCACTGAGTCAAACCAGCTGGGGCCAGGTTGTTCCTCGGGCATTAGATGAAAGAGCCTCATGTGGCCCAGAGGTTTGTGCCTAGACTCAAGCAATGGACAGAAGGAAACCTGCTTGAGAGCATTCTTGGTTTTGACTCCCAAACGTAACATTCACAGACCCTTGACCTAACAATGTGAGGCTCTCTGAGCAGGTTCCCGGGGTTTTCCTTATGTCCAGTCACCCTCCAGAGTGCAGTGCTTTGATTGACAGCTGAGGAAAGGAAGCTCTGAAGATGTCGTGAACTTGACCCAGCCTAAAAGGAGAGTGGGCATTTTGGCTGCTGGCCTTCATCAGATTGTCAGGACAGCCCTGGGCTTGGACTAATCGGTCTTCTTCCACCTGGAAGCCCCTCTCTTTTTACTACCGCCATCCCCAGGAACTAATCGCTCCATCTTCTCCCCAGGTGCCTGCAGACCCCCTTGGACAAACTCTCCTTATGGTTTTGCCGGGCAGCTGACACATTCAGACCTGACACACCTGTTCCAGTGCCCCAACCTCAGGCAGCTGAAGTCCCTGCGTCTGTATGGCGCCAACCTCACCGATTTTAGTCCCGAGCCCTTCCGAGCTCTGCTGGAGGCAGTGACACCCACCCTCCAGGACCTGCAACTAGATAACTGTGAGATGGTGGACTCCCACGTCGAGGCCATCCTGCCTGCCCTGAGCCACTGTCACCAGCTCAGGAAGTTCACCATCTCCAACAACAAATTTTCCATGGCCGCCGTGGAGAAGCTGCTGCGCCACACAGCCGGGCTGTGCAGTTTAGAGTTCGAGTTGTACCCCGTCCCTCTGGAGTGTTACACGACCCACGAGACTGTGGACCGGGAGAGAGTTGCCCTGATCCGGGCTGAGCTCACGGGGACACTGAGGGAGTTAGGACAACCCAGGACCATCCGTCTTGACACCAAGTGCTTTAGCTCTGGGGAGTTTTATCTCGTGGTATTTTCATGACATGGAGCCCATGATGTGCCCCTGTAGTGACCCTGCTCACCAGGTGCACCTAACAAGGGTTTCCTTCTGGGCCCCTGGAACCAGAAACCTCGGACTGGGGTGCAGTATGTGGGGCCACTCGTGTTTCATGTTCATGCTCAGTGTGAATGGGGAAAGGGACGGACCCAGCCCAGGTACAGGATTGCAGGGACAAAGGTTGGGGAGTTCATGGGACCTCAAAGGCAGTGTCCTACTATCAGAATTATGAATCTGATTTGCTTGGGGAGGGGTTGGGCATTTAGGCTCGAGGTGCATTGTGGGAGTTAATCCTCGGGTTGGAAAGGAATGATCAGAAATAAAGACAATTTCAAAGGCCACCTTCCGGTCCTCTGTCATGTATAAACCTGTCTCCCCACTTTACACCTCAGTTACTGATGAAAAAAGGTGTTGAGGGCTCAGGATCAGACACTGGAGCTGCTGGGATGCGTTTCGGCTGCAGGGCTCAGCACCATTTTATCACTCCCTCCAGGTTTTTCCTTCTCCCTGGGCATCTCTGACCTCAATGTGGCTGTTCAGTGGGTGGATACAATGCTACTTTCTATGTGGTCCACTGACCACTGAAGTGAAGGGGACTTGCTTCTGGCTCTGAACCTGTATGTGAGTCGTCCTCATGGTGCTGCTGGTGAACCCACAACTCTCAGGAATTGTGCCAGGAGGGGTTCAGGGCACGAGGCAGGGCCCCCAGTTCCAGAAGGGCTTGTCCACACAGCAGAGGAACAGAGCTCCTGTGGCCTCCTAGCCCATGCCTGTCAGCCTGGTGTTGAGGAATTAACCTGCTTGCAGCCAGGAAAATCATCCAAATTCCTTTGACCAAAATACTAAAGTTATTCGGGAACATAAGACTTTGCCCTTGTATTTTTTTACCACATTGAAATATAACCCTGGGGAGGGAGAGAGAATGGTCATATTGATGGGGAATTGGCGTTATTCTAATAACTTCTCCTGTCTCTCTCTATGGAGGAAGCCTAGTGTATCATGTTTTGAAGTCAGTCTGTCAGAATGGGTAACAGAAGAACTGGGTAAATGGGTGAGGTACTGCCTGTGCTAGGTCCCTCTATTAGACAGTGTTCTCTGGACAAACCCATAGGGTCTACATGGATTTATGTAAGACATTTATAGAAATAGGCTCATATGTTGAGCCCTATCATCTGTGCTTTACTAATTGGAGAACCAGTAAAGCCAATGGTATTCCTCAGTCTAAATCTGGAGATCTGAGAACCAGGGAGCCCATGGTGTAACCCCTAGTCAGAGGCCAAAGGCCTGAGAATAAAGGGCAGCTGGTGTAAAGCCTAGAGTTTGAAGCCTTGAGAACCAGGAACTCCAATGTTCACGGGCAGGTATATATAGCCATCTCACACCTGGCTGGCAAGGCTCAGTGGTTGAGCTTCAACTATAAACCAGGAGGTCACGGTTCTATTCTCTGTCAAGGCACAAGAGGCATCTGATACGTGATCCTCTCTCATCACTGATATTTCTATTATCCCTGTCTCTTCCTCTCTGAAATCCAAGACGTGTGTGTGTGTGAATGTGTGTGTGTTTGTGTGTAAAGATGGGACATCTCAACCAAAGAAAAGAGAATTCATTTCTTCTTTTCTCTTTCTATTTCCTCTTTGTTTCCCCAGAATTAGGAGGAAGCCCCCCCAGCACTGTAAGATCTCCTTTGCACATCTACTGAATCCAAAGCTAGCCCCATCCATTCACACCCTGTTTTACCAGCTACCTGGGCAACCCTTTAGTGCTGTCAGGTGACAGATAAAATTAACCCTTCACAATGACCCTAATCAAAGGGCATCCAAATGAAGACTCCAAGTTGTGTTTTCAGGGGCTGTGCTGTTGGGTGGGGAAGACCTTAGGTAAGAAGCTCAGTTCCCCCTGCAAAATGAGAACATGGTGCTCACCCAGCTTAGTGGATGCTTGTAAGATCAAAAGAGACGGTGCATGTTGAGGGCATACCATTGGGCCTGGCATAGAATTATGATCTCAATAAATGGGTGTTTCCTTCTTTTTCCTCCCAGCAGAAGGCTCCTGTAGTAGGGGTGGGGGTTGGGATGTGGGGAGTGGTGGGTAAGGGTGGGGTTATAGAGTAAAGATTGATTATCAGAAAAAAAAAAAAAAGTGCAGATCTTGGGTGTGCCTCGCCACCACAGCCAAGGGTGAATCTGAGGAAGGGCAGTGAAGGATTGAAGAAAAGACAGACAAGAGAATACAGCTGGGGCTCAGTGGATCTCCCATGCCTGGATGAGGACACAAAACACCCAGCCTAGAAGCTGATGCTTTATTTTATAGTCTGATTAAAATAAGAGTAGATTAACATGTATACAAATGTTCTTCTTTTGACAACACTTGCTGCACCTCCCACAGCACATTAGCTACTTAGGAAGGAATTAGGGAGGTCAGGCTTAATTGTGGTAGGAGAGCTCTGCTCTCCAGGCTGGGACTTGTTGTGGCCCTGCCACAAGTAAGCCTGTGGCTTGACCCTAGAGCCGCTCCATACACTCAGGATGCCTGTGCCACTGGCTGCTCAGAGCAGATGACATGTTAGTGTTGCAAGCAGGGCTGTACTATTGAGCATTTTTAAAATCTGCTAGTATGTAGATGCTGCCTGAATATAAATATTTTTGTGGTGATTTATGTAAATGTTTGTGGTGATTTATGTAAATGTTAGGTGATTTATGTAAATGTTAGGTGATTTATGTAAAAGTGCAGTTTAAAATGATAGCAGAATTTTACTACTTTTAAAGAATGCACGTGGATATTGCTTTAAAAATGTTTTAACTGTGTTGGGAGACTAAAACTTTAAAACTGGTTTTAAAGATCAGTGATCAGGAATTGTTTCTTCTTTAAGTACATTGAGAATAGTACCCTAGCCGGTTTTGTTCAGTAGATAGAGTGTCAGCCTGGGAAGTGAAGGGTCCTGGGTTTTATTTTGGTCAAGGACACGTACCTGGGTTGTAGGCTTCTGGGGCTGTTCATGAGGGCTGATCAGCGGTATATAGGAGGCAACCAATCCATATATCTCTCTGCCATGGTGTTTCTGTCACTCCCTCTCCCTTCCACTACCCCAAAAATCAATGGAAAAATATCCTCAAGTGAGGATTAAATAAAAAAAATGAATGAATAAACAAATAAAATTATAGTAGTACATATGGAAAACCTTTAAAAAATCATTTAGAATAATAAAATTTTAGAGCTGGACATACTAGAAACAGCTTTTTAAAAGTAGACTTTATTGCCTAGCTGGTGTGTCTCAGTGGTTGAACTTTGACTTATGAACTAGGAGGTCATGGTTCAGTTCCCGGTCAGGGCATATACCACCGTTGCCAGCTCAGTCCCCTGTGTGCGGCCTACAGGAGGCAGCCAATCAATGATTCACTCTCATTGGTGAAGTTTCTACTCGAATCCTTCCCCCTTCCATTATGAGATTAATACAACTATTTTAAAAATTAGATTTTATTTATCAGAGCAGTTTCAGGTTCACTGGGGAATTTTGCAGAAGGTAGAGAGTTCCCCTAGACCCTTGTTCCTCCACACTCACAGCCTCCCCACCACCCACACCCCCCACACCCCTCACTGGGGGGTACATCTGTTACAATGGATGGACCTACACTGAGAGAGATTTTTTCACCCAAAGTGATAAATGGTGATGGACGGAGACTTGCTTGGGGTGGAGAACACACAATATGGTGGACCGGTGATGTGTTGTAGATTTGTGCACCAGAAACCTGTATAATTTTGTTAGCCAGTAAAATCAATGAATACAAATCAATCAATCAATAAATTCAATACAGCCGAAACAGGTTTGGCTCAGTGGATAGAGCGTCGGCTTGCGGACTGAAAGGTCCCAGGTTCAATTCCGGTCAAGGGCATGTACCTGGGTTGCGGGCACATCCCCAGTAGGAGATGTGCAGGAGGCAGCTGATCGATGTTTCTCTCTCATCGATGTTTCTAACTCTCTATCCCTCTCCCTTCCTCTCTGTAAAAAATCAATAAAATATATTTTTTTAAAAAATAAAAAAATAAATTCAATACATTTTTTTTAAAAAAAGGAAACGGGGACATCAACGGTTCTTATAAAGTTCTTATAAAAGACTAAGCAAAAATAAAATAAGACTCTCAATTCTACAAATAAAAAAGGCTAATGGAATTTTGATTGGGATTGAATCTGTAGATTTATGGAAATTGACACCTTAACCATATCAAGCCTTTCAATATCTTTTCATTTATGTTGGTCCTCCTTAACTTCTGTCAGTCTGTTTTATAGTTTTTAGTGTATGGGTCTTGACCATATTTTATTACATTTATCCATAGTATTTCATGCTTTTGGATGCTGCTGCAAATGGAATTTTAATTTCAATTGTTTGTTACTCATAGCTGGCATAGAAATACAAGGGACTTTTAGATATAGATCTTTTTAAAAATATATATTATTGATTTTTGAAGGAGAGGAAGGGAGAGGGATAGAGAGTTACAAACATCGATGAGAGAGACACACTGATCAGCTGCCCCTTACACACCTCCCACTGGGGATGTGCCCATAACCAAGGTACATGCCCTTGACCAGAATCGAACCTGGGAACTTTCAGTCCCCAGGCCGACACTCTATCACTGACGCCAAAC